ACACAAAGGATATATTATGAATGATATCCAGACGTTACCCAAACCATGAAGAGTAAAGAGCGTTATAAAAAGGATCTCAAGCACATTGCATATTCAGCTTCTTCTGCAGGGGTTCTTAGCCATCTTTTCTTACTAAACTTACTGGTTGGTTGGTTTGTTGTTAAACGCCGCACTCAGCAATATTCCAGCTATATGGCGGCGGTCTGTAAATAATCGAGTCTGGACAAGACAATCCAGTGATTGACATCATGAGCATCGATCCACGCAATTGGGACCGATGACATGCATCAACCAAGTCAGCGAGCCTTACCACCCGATCCCGTTAGTCGCCTTTTACAACAAGCATAGTCGCCTTTTGCGGCAAGCATGGGTTGCTGAAGACCCCGGATCTTCACGGGTCAAACTTACTGGTAGCGACAGTAATAAGGTGCTTCTTCCATACACGTTACCTATTTCTGGTCGGCGCAATAAAGAGCCCCACAGATTTTCATTTCCTTTTCCCAGTTCTCTTTGTTGATGAGGTGAGATGAGGTGAGGTGAGGTGAGGTGAGGTGAGGTGAGGTGAGGTGAGGTGAGGTGAGGTGAAATTGGGTTGAAGCAGTTTAACATGAATACCCCACTCAGACACAGTATACTGACTCCGAGCCGACCAGTCCTTGTTTTAGCCCCTTAATGCCGAGCGCCTGACAGGGTAACAACAAGTACCATCTTTTAACGTCTTTTGGTATGACGCGGCCGGGGATCGAACCCCGGACCTTCCGCTCTCCGGGCGGACGCTCTACCTCTAGACCACGGAGGCGGTCCTTTTTTGTTGGAGACGGCTAATTCGGAGACAAGGTGAAAAACAAGGTGTATTGACATTTTCAAAGGTGGCAAATTCCCACTTGGACGGCCGGGTTCCGTTGAGAGGTGCTGCCATGTCTGAATAGATAGTTCTTGTCGGGACGTTGTCACATTTTGTCAGATGCCATTAATCATTAACAGTGAGTGAGTGAGTGAGTTGGGTTTTAACGCCGCTTTTAACAATATTCCAGTTATATCGTGGCGTGTCAGCTTAATGTGGGAGGAAAACCCGAAGTGATGCAGGTCTCAGACGTTTACCACTTCGGTGAAACCCACGAGCACGGACATGGTGCTGACAAACCTAGAAACATAATTGGGGCGAACCGGGATTCGAACCGATCATAGGTTTCTGGCGTACCCAAGGGACGCAACTCTGCATAGCGTAACGCGGCGCCTGAGACGGGGCCACCCGTGCCCCATATTAACAGTGAAATGTGTTTACCGTGTCCTCGCAACCCTTCTTCAAACGAAATGTGCGATAGTCCAATCATATTAAGCACTGGAAAGTGGGATTTCAAGCGTAGAGCAAGTCTTTGATAAGAAGACTAGTGGACGCTTTTGCCCTGGGAAGATGGTACTCGTTATAATCTAATCTGAATTAGGATGCAATCCCCATTTGGACTTGTACAATACGTTCTCGTATATTTTTGTTTCAGGTGGACAATTGACTTGCTTTTGCACAATACCCTTTCACTTATTTACCTTCCTGCATAAGAAATAAATGAGACCAATGAAACCATCTCAACTGTGTACATATTTAGATCTACGATAAAGATTCAGTGACAAAACAATCTCCACAAGACTGTATGACAAGAGGTGTGAATGAAACCATCTCAACTGTGTACACATTTAGATCTACGATAAAGATTCACTGACAAAACAATCTCCACAAGACTGTATGACAAGAGGGGTGACTTCCCAACTTTCCAAAAGTCAACTTTCCCTTCATGATGAGCACTATTCCAGTAGATCCAGGCTTTAGTGTCTACATATCACAACTTTTGGGGTACAACGAGTATGCCCTTTTCACCAAGATTTTAAAGAGCGTTAGACGACTCTCCCTCAAACGTTGTTTGATCAAAGTAACGGCACTCTAGGCCTCAGGAAATCTTTCACAAAGTTTTACAGTAGACATGTGGAGGACATTTCCAAATTTGACTTACAAGAATGATTTCCGATGCAATTCTCTATTTTGACTTGTACCATACGTCCCCATGTTTGGTTTTAGGTAAACGATTGACTTGTCCTTGCATGTGTTTGTGACAGCTGCATAAATGTGGTTGGAGAAGAAACAAATGTGGTTGGCCCGACTTGGTTAACAGCTTTGATGAAAGCCACATGCACTGGTATAGTGCTGACAAACCTCGAAACGTGATTTGGACGAACCTGGATTTGAACCCACGATCATTGATTTTGGCGTGCCCAATCCAATGGACGCATATCTGCATAGCGGATTAGACGACTGGACCACCCGTGGTCCCCATATAACTACCAAAGCATATTGGACACAGTTCACAACCAATTTAACCACAGCCAAGGGATGATGCATAACGTCTGTTTTTATCTATAGTCTTCATACTACGCCCCATAACGCTAAGCTACAGAAGCCATTTAAAAGTGTTTGGCATTAGCCAATTTAGCCGCGCCAATGTAGATGTACATGTTAAGGATCAATATATCCGATCTAAATTATTGACACTGGCAAAATTGTCTGCAAAGTCTGGAATGAGGTCCTCACTAAATCTTGAACCCTGAATCCTTGTCAGAAATTGAGCGAATCCGGCGCCTTTCATCCCAGACAGTGTTCGGTTCCGTAATGTGTTGTCTTTTGTACAAACCCCTTTAATTCTTTTCACATCGATGGCGCCAACGATTGACCCTTCAGCGCATCATTTTGTATCGTATGAATCTTTCATGTCCGCTGACCCGCTGCGCCACAGACAGAGCCATTACATAAATAGCAAGTTGAAACGTTGTGACGTTTGTGGGAGACAATGCATGTGCCGAAATCAAACAGCCAAAGAATAAATACCACTTATTACAGCATCCCTGAAATGGTGAAGTTATCTGTAACAATTTATTGGAGACATAAATACAGGAGAACGCGTTCAGAATATGGATGACTTGTATATTGATTCAGATAGCAGTACTTTTCTAATATATTACATAACTCCTAAGAAATGGACTCGTTTATGTCTATCCGTGGCATAATCGATGTCTCTAATATTCCAAATAAGTAGCCATGATAAATGACAGAGGATGGTCGATTTGAAGTAAAAGTTACCGTAATAAGCATCGGGATCATGTACACATCATTACACTCGATAATGCCTCATCCATCATTGTTGAAGTAGGCAGTTTGATTACACTGATGGCGGATTTCCAATCAAAACCTGGTATTTTCTGCATTTTGGCTTTATATAGACGACCCCGTGTTAAAGATCATACGGTAATTGTATGCGTAATTACGTTTAGCGCTCGAATCATTTAAGGGATCTTGAATGCATCCCCTTTCAAATGCTAAATACAACTTACCTACTTTCATGTATAATGCATATAGTTACGGATTCCGTAAACAAATAATTAAAATATATTATGAGCTGATGTGCACGATCCACGCAAAAAAAAAATGCAAATTGCTTCCCTAAGTTGTGGGAGGACTCGCTGTTCGGGTTCGTGGATTAGCTCTATTTTTGCTCTTTGGTCACGCCGTACCCGTGCTCGTAACTCGTCTATAAACCGTATCACTTCGGGCTTCCGTCCCACATCTGCCACACCGTGCTATAGCTGATATACTGTTCAAAGACATTAAACCTCAAATCACTGTCACTGACGCATTTCCAACGCACGGGATATGATCATGACCTTTCATGGTCGTGGGTTTGAATCCCAAATGTGTTAGCACCATGTCCATGTTGGTAGGTTTCACCACACTGTCAAACATCTAAGACTTGAATCACTTCAGGCTTTTATTAAAAGTCAGTATATAGTATAGGCTTATTTCTGATGATTGTGAGAAGCGCTCTTTTAGTTATCTAAGTCCAAATTCCGCCCTCGGCTTGGGACTTCCTTTATCCTCCCGCAGTAGAGAGGTCCGCAGGAACGAGCATGTTTAAAGACGTTGATTTAGTTCGGGGACCGACTACCTCATTTGAGAAGCTTGGCGTAGTAACAGTTTCTAGAAGGCTGTCAGAGCGAGACAAAACGCCTTCTGCTTTAGCCCCTTAATGCCGAGCGCCAGACAGGGTAACAACAAGTACCATCTTAAAACGTCTTTTGGTATGACGCGGCAGGGGACCGAACCTCGGACCTTCCGTTCTCGAGCGGAGGCTCTACCTCTAGACCACGGAGGCGGTATATCCGACAAGTCCCTGTTTCATCCCCTTATTTTAACGTATTTCGGGCAGTGACATACTACATGTACTTATCAATAAAAAGAGCGACAGATCCCTTTCCATAGACATCGAAATCTCTACCAAAAGCAGAATCGATTGTTCGATTTTGACATGTGTTTATGAATCACTATCAAATAGTGATGATACAAGCTTATCGAGAAAAGGTGAGCGTATTCTGTCCCACCTGTGGCACCCGTCACAAACACATGCAAAGACAAGTCAACTGTTCACCTGATAAACACGGAGCATATGGTACAAGTCAAAATATGGAATTGCACCGGATATTATTTGATTGTTATTGAACGATATCAGATCATTGATATACCTGAAGCTTAAGTTAAACTTAAATTACCTTGAGTCCGAACAGGAAGAAACAGATCCGCAAGAGGATTACAAATGGTGTCCATGGGAAGTTGCGAAATCTAAACACCAAATTTCTGCACTAGTGTAAAACCTATTAATTTGGACTTTATCTAATTATGTGTAGAAAAAGCGATGATGCTGGAAAAATCACGATAATGTAAGCCTCGTTTTATGAGTAAGCAGTGATTTTCATGAACATTTGATAACAACTGTCTTACACATATCTATTTCACCGCGATAGCATGCACGTATGCGATTTTAAAATGATTTTCTTAACGTGTCACTTAGCAAGTGATAAATGTTAAACTGAGTGGGCACTCGGGACTTTGAACAGATTGTGCCCAATTAACCTGTGTGGGAAAGCAACATTTGTTTGAAACATTACATTTTATTTTACAGATGTGATATTCGACATGCAGATGCTGGGTAAATTAGGCTGGACCACGTACACTACCAGCGACAGGAGTGGGGTAAGCTGACACATTATATCATTACAAATATTGGACATTTTAGCTCGACCGGCTGTTTCTTATCATATATGTATTTGCGAAACAAAAACATGAGTTTTAAGTAAAGGAAAATATTCTCGCCCATGGGCCAAACCTTTTTCTCGCCCATGGGCGAAATATTTCAATATCGCTATAAAATCGTTGAATTAAGTTAAAATGAGTTAAAGTTTGTGTCATGATACTTGAATAAATACATTTAATGTATTTGCGAAACAAAAACATGAGTTTTAAGTAAAGGAACATATTCTCGACCATGGGCCTGCCCATGGGCTTACCCATGGGCCACACTTCGGCCATGGGCAGGCCCATGGGAGACATAGTGTAAATATTGAGTTTTTGAACAATTTTTCAAAAAGAAATTATCCCTTGGTATGTTCCCATGAAAACATCATGTTTAATTTTGTAAATACCTTTGACCGAGACTTTGCAAAGACCGTAGAGTTTCTGGACTATTGGGTTTCCAGAATTAAAATGGGACGTGTTTATGTTAATCTGTCCTTGGTAAACCTTTTGCATTATTTTCCCCGAAACCATTCAACCAAACAAGTGAAAGGGCACTAGTATCATCCCAGCTTTGTTATCTCACAGACGTCTCATCAGATATATAATATGGCCGCCACGACAGCCATATTGAAAATGTCATTTTGGTCATTTTGGCCATTATCTCAAGCACTTCTGAAGGTAGCATTAGGAGATTTGATATGCAGTAAGTGTATGGTTTGTGGAATAAGGCATGGCATGTTTTACTTGTTCTGTGTAAACTGTAGTCATTGATCTTCATACAGGTCATTTGACTGTATTTTCGATGTTTCCTCAGTAAACTAAATCTGATGTTCCTGTGCAGGGTCCTGTTACTCAGCCATTTGTTTTTTGAAATGGTGATATGAAGTACGAATGCCTCCTCTAAAATCAGACAAAGACCGCATCTTCCTAAATTTAAAATTTGCAAACACGGGAATTGAGTGAGTGAGTTGGGTTTAACGCCGCTTTAAACACTATTCCGGTTATATCAAGGCGTGTCAGCTTAATGTGGGTGGAAAGCCCGAAGTGATGCAGAATTCAGACGTTTACCATTTCGGTGAAACCCACGAGTATGGGAATGGTGCTGACAAATCTAGAAACATAATCCGGGCGAACCGGGACTCTGCGAACTGAACACCCCCCCCCCCCCCCCCCCCGTGAACAGCCTGCTCCCAACTGGGACCACAACTTTAAAGTCATTGTGATGCCGTCGAAGCATATGTCAAAGACGGCTCAACAGAGAACATGAACCTTGTGATTGTCTTTCAGATTGGGTTTAGTCAGTGGACGATGTTATCTATGCCAGACAGCACACGCTGAAAAGGGAGAAACCGATTTAGATAAATTCCTTGTGCTCCCAGTAGGGCAGTACATCCTTATCTTTTCGCAAATACTCGGTGTCATCACCAACATGTATTCCTTGTTTGTTTGTTGTTTAACGCCGCACTCAGCAATATTCCAGCTATATGACTGCAGTCTGTCCATAATCGAGTCTGGACCAGACAATCCAGTGATTGACATCGACCGACGCAATTGGGATACGATGACATGCGTCAACCAAGTCAGCGAGCCTGACCACCCGATCCCATAAACCCACGTACGACACAACACAAAGACAACATTCAACAATCTATTCAAAAAGCTTAGTTGATTATTATAGCATTGTTTTCGCCGCTGCTTCTCTTTTTCTCGGTTATGCTGTCAGGAATGTCTGATTTTGTCCCCTTTCGTTTGACCTGGTTTAGGCCTGACCTTTACTGCAGGTGTACCCATAGTCACTGCTGTCATGTGCTACTTTGAAATGCAAACTGTCAGCGATCTGCCATTGGTGTGATTGTTGGGGCGTGCTAGTTCTGGTGGTTCGGGTCAATTAGTGTGATTTGTGATACACTTGGGAGGCGTAATATGCTTGCAATTGTGAATGACTATGTGTTGACTGTCTTCACGCAGATTGTCTGAAGATAATACCTCATGGAAAAAAACATTTGCAATAAGGAAAACAAGTTCGCAAACGTCAATGATCAGCAACCATGTATTCCAATCCCGTTAGTCGCCCCTTACAACAAGCAGGCGCCTTATACGGCAAGCATTGGTTGCTGAAGACCTACTCTACCCCGGATCCTCAAGGGTGTATTCATTGAGGCATTTCTAACCACACGTAGTGACCATGGATACAATTACATCTCTATCATCGAAGAATGTTGGACAATTTGTCACAATGCGAGACCAAGTTTCACCTGAATTTTACGAAGAAAATAATTTGTTTAATGCTGAACATCCTAATAGATAACATATATGGACTCAATATAAGCCAAGTAGTTTGATTTAAGGTTCGGTTATTATAGGTGAGGTGAGGTGAAATTGGGTTTAACGTCGCGTCCAAGATTATTGCACTTATATAGCGACGTGCATGCACGCGTGTGTGTGTGGCTGCTTGTACTAGTCCGGACTGATGCCGATTTATAGTGCTAGCTCACTGAGATACCATGCCGCAGTTTAACATGAATACCCTACTCAGACACAGTATACTGACTCCGAGCCGACCAGTCTCCGGGCGGACGCTCTACCACAAGACCACGGAGGCGGCACTCGGTTATTATAAATCATCTGATGTCATTTGATGATGGTCAAATAGCGAAGTGCCTTCCTCTGATTTACCTACCAAGAAAGCTTGAAATAAGAGAGTGAAACCACCTGTTTCATATTAAGATCTATGTATAAAAAGTCAGAGTGACAAAACAGTCTCCACACGACTGTATGTTCAGCGTGATAATTGAAACTGTGTACCAGGTGAACAACAAATTGTTGCAAGTGCATCTGCTCGTGACGGGTGCGACAGGTGGGCAGGGCGGGGCAGGATACATTAATCTTTTAGCGAACACCTGGTTTCATTACTATGGTGATTCGTTCACACGTGCTTCTGGTATCCTCCAATGGCAATTAGCAACAATTTCTCATTTTTTTAATGGTTTTCTCGCTTCCATCTACATCACATATAGTTATATTTTGCACATGTTGAAACTTTGACCATGTTGATCCCTCGGCTCAGGCAATCATTCATTTCAACGTGTAAATACGAAATGTAACTATTATCATTTAAATCGCTATCTTATCAAATTATCAAATTTACATATCATGAATATTTATGTCGTTTTGAAACTTCCGTTTCTTCCAAATTCTTTTTTACCCTTGTAAAACTTCTCTGATCTAATATGATATTCAGAAAAATAACGGGTGACAACTTTCTTGTCAGACCTTGCAATATTTTTCTGGCCTTGTTGATAAATTGCATAAAAAATCCATGTGAGCTGCAGAGCCTTGTAAATAAAAGCGACAAAACACTTTCCATTTTGCAAAAGGTATCTGTACCAAAAGGAAATTTGATATTATTGGCTCATATCATACACTTTTAGATCTAATTTTCCACAGAAAGTCAGCGAATAAATAGTTCTTTTTCAATCGCTTGTCCCCAACATTGCTGTTTCATACCGATTAGGGCGATATATGTATTTATCTGGATAGTATTGTTATAAATTTTTAGATGCATTCTATCAGAAAGTTGAACAACTTGAAGACAAGGTATCTAGTCAAGACTCTGATATCGACAGGTTAGAGGCCTTCAGTCGTCGGAATAACGTCGTATTTAATGGCGCGTCTGAAGAAGCTGGCGAGCCCTTCGAAATGTGCAAGGATAAAATTATTACTTTGCTCAATGAGCATGCGAAGACAAAGGATTGGCAACGCCCCGATATTATACGGGCGCATCGGATAGGGGTCAAACAGTCGCAACCTAATAAACCCCGCCCTCTCATTGCTAAGTTTTCTCTGACGGAGGAGAAGATTATAGTACTGAAGCACAGACATACCTTGGGGAGTGTTGCTATAGGCGTTGCTAACGACCTAACCAAGCACCAGAGACAGACTCTAGCTGATCTGAGGGACAAAGACATGGATGCCAACTACAAGAATGGTAGACTGGTCACAAATCCTGGTACCCATGACAACACACCCAGACACGAATCGACAGGAGATATGTATATGCTAATTCACAATTGTTGTCAATCCATGTTTGTGGATACAAGAGTTGAGTCAAAACATATGCATGTATGGCTACATTTGGACATATTTCTCCCTAAAGTATCTACAGGTGATGATTATCTTTCCACCAAAACACACAAATATAAATGGAACCCTCGTAAGCCTGATGTGTTTATAGGACGTATAACAAATCTATGTCGATCTTTTAACGAGCTTATCGATCTTTTAACTTTTTATTTCAATCTTGCTCTCGAAAAATTGGTTAATGTTTTTCTTATAATTAGTGCCGCTGAATGTATGAAGGTACCTTTAATCAAAAGTTCACCCCGGAATACGGGGTTTTATAATAGTGAATGCAGACGAGCAAAACTGGAAGCAAGGCGATACATGAGGAAATTCAAAGAGAAGAAATCTAACGAAAATATTTAATCTTTTATAAAATGAGGAACAAGTATAAACATGTTTGCAAAACAGCAAAATCAAACTATCAATTTATGACACGAACAAAACTAAAGCTATCTCTATCTGATTCAACCACATTTTGGAAAGAGTTACGGAGTATATCAGGTTGTTGGGAAACAAAGAATAACATAAGTAAAGAGTGCTGGCTTGATCATTTTACAAACGTTTTTCAGAGTACAGATGTATTGCATGCTGAAGCCGAATGTCAATGTCATGAAGATTTTATACTTGATGAGACTGACCAGTGTATTTTGGAGTCGCCCATTACCGACTCAGAAATCCACAAGGCTATAAATCGTTTAAAGAATGGCAAATACCCCGGTGTTGATGACGTGGTCATTGAAATGTTAAAATGTTGTGAAAATGTTACAACTCCTTTCCTACGAAATTTGTTCAATAAGTTATTTGATTTTGGATTATTTCCTGAGAAATGGACGAAA